TTCGGCACAAAACGAAGGATTTTTAAAGCACAATCCAAATCCTTTTGCCGAATAAGTCGCATCACCAAAGCCATTTTTTGGGAAGAAATGGCTAAGGGGGAACTTTTAATAACGATTTGTTCTGTAGTCATTATAGTATTTTTATCACCATAAAGGTTTTTGCTTCTTAAAATTGGCAAAAAATTCCTTTTGCGTATCGTTCTTATCTAATTTACCTCCTTTATTTGTGCTTTTTTTTTTTAGCAATTTTTTTAGGCTTTTAATGTTTCATTAATGCTATTTCTTAATGCTACCATGTTTTAATTTTATCATATTGACTATTTGTGGGAGAAAAATTTAACCTAATCATACACATAAAAAATAAATTTCTTACCCGTGGGATTTTTTTAATTGTCGGGCAACTGTTGACTTTGCCGCTGGTTAATTGGGCGAAAAAAATTTACTGTTCGATTTTGGCTAAAATAATTTGTTCGGATTTAGTGGTTAGTTTGGGTTTTACATTTCTGGGTATTACATGGGTGGTGATACCTTTTTGTCTTCTTCGTCAATTCGCTACGCTTATTCTTACGGCTTCTCTTTGTTTGGCTTTATCTTTATACGGCATAAATGGTTTTACAGGTTACTTTATTGGTAATACCTAGATAGCACTTTTCTCTTCGCACTTCCGGCATAAGCCACTATCCGTGCTAACTTTTTTATACCTCGCCACAATTACCACAATCACTCTCCACCTCCTCTCTTTCTTGGCTTGGTTCTTTCTCTTTCCAGTGTTTCGTCGTATCTTTGTTTAGCCTCGCGGCGGATACTTTTTCTTTCTCGGCAATCCCAACAAGAACAACCCTGTTTGCCTCTTTCCTCGTGAAATTTAACTCGTTCAATTTCTCGCTCCCGGATTTGTCCGCAATCGGCTTGTCATTCTAATTTAGCGGCTAAACCTTGTTCCAAACGAAATTTTTCCCGGCCTTAAAACCTAATTATAAGCGGTGTTGTTGTTCGGGCCCGAAAGTATTCCACTGCTCTCCCCTTTAAGCTTAGTTTTGGCTGTGTCTCAACAATCCTGAATAAGATTGGCGGCGGTCTCTCTTAACCACATAATTGTTTATTCAGAGGAGGAAGAAAAAACTACCAACAACTTATCCGTCAAACGTCAAGAATTAATTAATCTTTCTGAACAAGCAATAATTAAGGAAAAAGAAATTATGGAGTTGCGACGACAACTGTTTAAGATAGCATACGAAAGGATTAATAAGCAGTATGAGGAAAAGGTAGAATTTATCGTTCTTATTATCCAAGATTTAAAAAATCGTTAGGTGTTAAATAATTTTTCTTATCAGAAGTTTTTTTCTTAACCATTTTTCGGTCTAGTCTATAAGTCAAAAGTCAAGAAAAATGAGTA